ATTTTTTTTTTGTCATTCTTGATTATTTGACGCCCTAAACAAGTATATTTTGATCTATAGCAATTATCTTCTTCTTCTTCTTTATGAATCAGAATAAATATTGTATATCATCGATCAAACACAGTAGGTTAACATTTTTCTTCTGATGGGGGATAATTTTTTTCTTTAGTAATTACCCTCATTTCCATCTTATTAACAAATCGTTACATGTGTATATTGGATAGAAGAATATAAAAATGTTATTTCTTCTTTTTTTTTTGTTTTGTTGCTTATCTATTCGTTATGTTCACAAGCGCACCGACACAGACTTGGAAATTGGAAAAAGACATACACATGTTGAAAAGAAGAAAAAAAAAAAGCTTCTTCGTGCTTGTGCACTCATTCTGATGAGGTCGATCATCATTCGAGCGTGATGATGTCCGCCTCCGAAATAGTTTCTTTATAGAAAAAAAAAAAATCTCTACAATTCAATGACAATGATGATGATGTTCGCAAAAAAAAAGAAAGAAACTAGACAACAAAAGAACAGAGAGAGAGAGAGAGAAGAACCGAGGTGTTAACGCAATGTAATTTGCTTTTGCTCTTGCTTGTCGCTGTCACCGTCAGTTATTCCGCTAAAATGATCAAAGTTAAATTAGTATTACATTCCTTTAGGGTCTCTGCATGTCTGTCCTATGTCTATCAATAGGAAGAAGAATAAGATAGTGCGTGTATGTATATATATATATATATATGTAGCTAATTACAAAGAACTTATCATTATTGAGCGACGACAAAAAAATAGTATGCGCACAATCTTCAATAAGACAAAAAAAGAAAGATCACAATCAAAATGATAAAATAAGAAACCGACAATATATGTACACGCTTGCCATACATATGTCTTCAATTAAAGATCTGATTGATTTACTATGATAAAAAAAAAAGAAACCATGAATTCATTTTTTTTTAGACAAAGAAGATTTTTGACTATATTAATAGACAGAAAACTTAAAGAATCAAATCAGAATTCAAATGTCATTCATTTTCTCGTTATATATTGTGTTCATTGAAACGAACATGATCTGATCCGATTGATGACAATACAATTGGTCGCACAATCATACAGACAGAAAAAGAAAAAAATCGAATATAAGACTTATAAAAAAAAGAAGAAATTTCAATTGACTGTCATTCACTTATTGTAGATGATTGACGAAATAAGCGGAAGAAGACAATTATTTTCATCTCGACTTTCTTTTTTTTTTTTTTGATAGATTTGGCTTTAGGCTATTGCACTCGACTTACCTGAACTATTGATATTGTAGTAAAGATAAGACTAGTATGTTAGTTGTATGACAGCTGTTTAAATAACGAAAAAAAATAAAAATAAAAATCAAAGAATGAGATAAAACATTATATGCATTTTCATCCATTAGTCTTTCCGGTATCTTCTTTTCCTATTGAACTTTCTATAACAAAAAAAAAAAACTACTATTATTTTCGCATGGTTGATATTATTTAAGGGCATTTTTTTTATAAAGAATTTGATATACATTAAGCATTTATTTTATATATTTGAAGCATATATAACATTGAAAGAAAAGCTAAAAGAGATAATATTAAATCATTGAAGTGAATTGAGAAAAAAAAAAAACTTTTTACATTTATTCATCATCATCTATATAAACTAATACAACCTTTAATGTGTATATATTACAATTCATTAACTAATAGAAAATTTCTTCTAATAATTTGTCAATTGAAATTATTTAATATTCTTTTTCGATACTCTCTTTCATCTATCTCATTCTTTCTTCTTTAATCTAAAAATATTCATTATAATATTCCATTTTAAAATAAAAACGGAAATGTCTATTTACTGTAAAATAGAAAGCTAAAAAAATTTCTACGCATGAAATGACTTATCAATAAACTAGTATCTTGATAGAATATCATTAAAATAAATAACATCTTAAACTTCTTCTAGAAATAGACAAGATTCTTTTATCATCCTGAAGAAATAAAAAAACATTAGATCTAATAGAAATTCGTTCATTCATATAATTTATTACTCGAAAAAATTATAACTTAAATAAGAAAGTATTTATATTTGAGTTAAAAAAAATCTTTTAATAACTAATGTCGATATTATTTTCAAATTGTTACTCAATAGTTTTCTGACAAAAAAAACCATCGTTTCGAAATAAAACAAAAAATTCATAATATGTTTGTATATAATCAAAAGACATATGAGGTCTTTTTTTTTTAGGGGTTTTTGAGTCTTACATCATTGTTAACTCTGTGAACTTAATAAACTAAAAAAAAAAAAAAATGTAATTTTTCTTTTCTTTTTGTTTTTTTTTGAGTATCTGTTATTCCGCCACAATGAATTTTTTTTAAATTGATCTATAATTTGGTAACGATAGGATATAGAAATAAAAATAGTTTTTCTAATTTTCATTAGAATTAAAAATAGTATTGATTATTGAAAGTAAATAAAATGTATATCGATTTAAATTTTTTGTTTATTTTCATAATGATATTAAATTAGGAAAAAATGTAATAAACAAAACAATAAGAAATCAAAGGATAATACTTGATGATTGATTTTATAATAATATAATTTTCGATATATTATCTAATAATAGAAAAAAAAAGAAATTCAATCGTTTTATTTCATTATTAGGCCATTTTTGACGTATTTCTAGAGAAAGAAGTATGAAAAAAATGGTTGATCTTCATGATAAAAATTTATTAGAATTAATAATTAGTTATAAAATATATCTGCGGTCGTTTTAAACAACTTTTTTTTTTTTATTGGAAAATGAAGATGAACAATATTGATGTAATACTGAAAATGAAAGATCTGATTGAAAAATAATTGCCTTCATTAGTATCTAATCTAAAATAATCATTTTTTCAAATGATAATCTATGGCAAATAGCCTTTCCAATATTATACAAATATAATAGTAACATAACTGCAAAAAAATAAATCAAATTTCAATGTCATTCAAAGCACAAATAGAGATCATTTTCACCCAAATTTAACAATATTGATGTTAAAATTCATATCTTTTTAAGTTAGTTTTATAGATGTGAATGTCAGATAGTACATAGTAAAATAAAGATGATTAAAACAACTGATTTACATGTACTAAATATTTCGAACATTTATTTGTAGACAAACATAGAAGTTTTCCGTATACATTTATATGTTAACTATAGATATAATCTAAGAGAAAAAAATATATATCCTTGACTTTCAGTATACAGTACCGCCTAACAGAACTATTAGCAACATGTCCAGAATCATTTCATGGTTGATTGCATCGATATTTGAAATTAGTATCTTGTAGAACTATGTAGCCAATAGACCCCGTCGGGTAGGACCCGGACCCGCACGGATCCGGGTCGGGTCCAGGTCTGAAGGAAACTTTGATCCATACAATTTATTTTAAAGTTTTATACAAAGAAGAAATCAAATGTATTTAGAAAATAGATAAAAAACAACAAAACCCTTCTTGACTATACTATATAAACTGACTTGTCATTGTGTTTGGATCCAAAAAATTTAAGCGGCCGGGTCCGGGTCCAAAAATTCTGGACCCGACGGGGTCTAGTAGCCACTGACTAAAAACTCTAAAAAACAAAAAAGTTTTGATTCCTAATAAGATTTTTGATGTCTATTTATCTTGACGCTATAGATTTTTGTAAAACTTTTATTTTTAAATTTCATTGTGAAACTTTATTCATATATACCATTTAATTAAATACTCGTTAGGTATAGAAACTTTCATATTGATTGATACTTTTTCATTCTAGTACAAAAAAAAAAAAGAATTCATAAGATTAAAAAAGTAGAATTCTTTATCAATGTCTGAGTAAACATAAAAGGTAAATATTTTATATAAATGCATTGATTTGTATGAAGTTCAATATTATTTATTTTTTAAATATAATTATCAACATCAACTTAATTATATCTCACAATTTTTGACATTGGTCTTATATGGTTTCAACTCATTTTTTAAGGATACGTTCTTCTTTATATATTTAATCGATGTATCATTTATTTGATTAGATATATTTCTCATAGAGCAAAAGAAAAAAAATGCAATTAAATATTCATATAAAGGATTCCTGTGGGTTTTTTTTTCAAAATCATTCATACAATTGTAAGCTGATATATTTGTGATAGATGGTGACGATGATTTCATCAATTGATAATTGTTTTACATTCGAAATTTTTCAATAATCAAGTAAAATGAACTTTTGTTTTTACCAAGTTGGATTTAATCATATTAATAGAAGTTTCTTTAAAATATATAATTGAACGAATTTGAATAAAGATATATTTTTTTGTTTTTAGTGAAAGATTAATATTATCTTTATTTTGATGATAAGAAAAATTTTTTTTGTTTTAGTAATAGATTTTGTATTTCTATTTATCATGAATATAAGTATACTATCGAAAGTTAATCTTTTCGAAAACAACAAATTTCAAGTGTTGACCTTGATCGATACCAAAAAAAAAAAAAAAAAAAATTGCTTTTATTTTTTAACTTATTTAATTCGTTGATTACATTTAAGTACTTGATAAATTCAAATAGAACCTTCAAAAAAAAAACTCTAAAAACAAGTAGAATTGTTTAGTTTCTACATCTGTCACATCGAAATATTGTCATTTATTATTTTGCTTATTAAATTTACATCGAATACCGTTTTTTATTACAACATATAAAATTCGTTTCATTCTTTTCTTCTTTATTATAATATGAAAAAGAAACAACCAAGCAAAACATCCAATATATATATGTATATCTTCATACGAATTTGTAAATCACAAAATTATCAAAAACAAGAAACTCGTATCTCTCACATAAAGTTAATATTGGCTCAATAGAATTCCATATCCTTTCCATAAACATATTTATAAATTCGTATTTACAGGGAAAAAGACAAAAAAAAAACAAATTCCGTAAAAAAAAAAAAAAACAAAATAGAATCATTAATATATCATATAAGTAAAGTAACAAATTGTGGTTGATTATGTATATCTTTTCTACACATTGGACATGAACGATTTTTCATCATCCATCCTTTAATACATGATGAATGATATTCATGTGAACATGATAATATGCTAACTTCTTGACCACTACGATATGTTTCAAGACATATTGAACATTCTGATATTGATTCATTATCTGATAATGTTGATGATTGTGATGGTGATAAACATATTGTTATTGGTGATGTTTTTTTATTTTCAATATTATTAAATATTGTTTCCATAACTAAATTAACATTTGCTTTTGGTTCTTCTTTTATAATACGAATAGATTTTTTCGATTCATTAAGTACTCGTTGAATAACTTTAGCCTAATTAATTTAACAAAAAAAAAAAAATTTTAATGTTTTTTTATATAAGAAATATATGTGGATGTGTTTTTTGATTCGCTTACACTTGGTAATGTTTGTGCAGTACAAATACCATTTTGTAATAAAATTTGTTGAATTTCCCAAACAAATACTGTTGGTTGATTATCTTTAAGTTTAAGAATTTCATTACGAAGTTGAGCCGTTAAACGTGGACGTTTTTTAATGGACGGTTTAGATTGTTTTTGATGTAATATAGAATTCGATGATTGTGTTGATATTAAAGATGTATTTATTGGTTGAATTATATTAAAAAATGATGAATAATTATTTGTTGAATGTGTATTTATTGATTCTGTTTGTGTTCGATTTAATGATAAATTATCTATTGATTTATTATTTATTGTTGATTGAGAAGTAGATAAATCAATTGGATTATAACATGGAAATGGAGCTAAAATAGTAAATTATGTAAACTAGTGTAAGGATGGCGCCCTCTAGAATAGAAAATCTAGATAAAACGCTGATATCAACCCCCTAACATGAGCCCCGTAAAAAATTGATTTTTAAATTAACTTAGGATGGGACGTTTGACACTTTTACAAAAGACTATTCTCATTGAAGTTCGTTTCTATGCAAATCGAAATTCAATTTTTTTTTGATATTTCATTAGAGTATTTATTTATAAAATATGATCAAATGTGTAATTATTTTTGCAGTCAATAGTGACCTGACCTCGAGGTGTGATAAATCGCCACCAATCGTGGAAAGCTTCTATTTTTTTTTTGCCCAACAGAAGTAAAATTCTCTTATTGCTATCTGTTCAGACAAAGGATATCCTCTTTCCTTTTTCTATGTTAACTGCTTTAGGCTATCATTTTTTGATGTACTAAACTACAATTAAAATTTTCTATCGAATTTTGATTACAAAAAAAAATAAATCTTATTTTTTATTATTATATTTCTTTAAAATTAGATTATAATAAAGAAATCTATCAACATATATTGAAATATATAATCTATTATTCTTAGAAATGAAACCATAGATATATATGAATATTCTTATCAACAACATCAATTGTCATATAGAATATTTCATTAGTATAAAAACGATAGTCATCTACTCATAGTATATTTCTCGATGACATGAAACAAATATAGTTTTTTTCTCTGATAACATAAAATAAAAAGGTCTAACGAATTTTTCGTTAAAATATCTTAAAAAAACAAAAATTACTTGATTGTGAATAATCTTGATATGAAGTATTACTATGTGTACGCATTAATGATGATCCATTATTCCAATTAAAAAAAAGTTCTGATGGATGATAATGTATTGTTGGATGTGAATAATTATTATTATTATTATTATATATATTCGATGATGAATGATTCGTTGAATATATTGAATTTGATATTGGTAAAGTTGATTCAGCTAAATTAAAAAGCAAATTTCTAATTACAAAAAAAAAAAATTTTTATATTTAATTTTTTTTTAAATATACTATGACGTCTATAAAAATTTTGTGTTGAATTATTAAAATTTGTTGTTAAATCATAAGATGGATATGAATTATTTAATTTATTTATTGTTTCTATAGATGATATATCACCGGTAGAAGATATTGTTCGATATGTATATGGTGTTTGTTGATAATTAAATGTTGAATTATTATATATCGGCTTTTCCCAAGAATTATGAGATTGATGATAATTATAACCTATTGTTGAATGTAAATGATTATGTTCATTTATATTATAATCTAAATAAATAATTAATTTTTCTATTTTTCTTTAAATTATTATTTTAAACTTACGAATAGGTTGAGATATTGAATTAGTTGTATTTTCTTTTAATGTCATCATCATTATCTAAAACATGAAAACTAAACAATAGCAACCATTTTGAAAAAATATATATATGTGTGTTCACTTTTTTTTTTACAAACAATAACAACAACAAAAAACAAAATATAAGCAGATCCACTTCGTCACGACAATTGCATACTGTATTGTGTATGCCTTCTCTAAACACGAAGAATAGACGCTTGTTCGTTCTAAACGAGCGAATGCGAGAGAAAAAAAAAATCAAGAGAGAGAAAAAGGGAACACGACCGAGAAAGATGCTATAGACGTGTCTTGTTTTTTTTTTTTTTCTTCTTTTAATTATTCAGTTTATTCTTTCGTTCTATCCGTAGGAAATTTTCTTTTTTTTTTTCTCTTTCTCTTACAAATGGAAATGGAACTAGGCTATCTATAGCCGACATCCTTCTTTCTCTATATTTGAACAGTTGAGTTCTCTTTTTCCCTTGCGGTTAAAAGAATGTGAACATCACGTATGAAAACAAAAAACAAAAGGAAAGAAAAAGAAGCTTCATTAAAAAACAAAAAAAATGACCTAAGAGAAGCATGTTTAGATAATGATTAATTTCTTAGGGAAAGATAGATTTACATACAGGAAAAAAAGAAAAATAAGTGAGCCGCAAACAAAAAAAAAAGACAGAAAGGAAAAAAAAGGTGCACAGAAGGAAGACAAGACAAATACAAAGAGCTTTATATATATATTTTTTTTTTCTTGCTTATTGTTAACATTATAAGCGTATAAATGATTTTTACTGTTGTACGAAGAAGAAGAAGAAAAAAAAGAAAACGAAATCGAAATATGTAATTTTATATATATATATATCAGCAGGTCGATAAAAAATTATCTCGTCGACATATAGGACATGATGAATTCATAGTAAACCATCGTGCAATACATTTTGAATGATATTCATGTTGACATGGAAGTACTCGTATATGTTGTCCATTTTTAAAATGTGACATACAAATAACACAAGCTGTTTGTTTCGATGATAATATATCTGTTGTTGTTGTTATTGATATTGATTTATAACGATATGAAAAAAATTGTTCAATATCAACTTTTTTATAACGATTTGGATCAGATAATTTTTCTGCTAAATCTAATAATTGTTCATAATTTTCACGTTCACGATATGAACGTGATGGTTGATGATATGAATGATAATGAAATTGTTGTTCATCCGATGAACATGTTGATGTTGATTCAATTGAAGTATCGGAATGTGCTGGTGAAATATTTCCTGTTCGTATTATTGTTTGTTGTTTACTATCAGAAATAAAATTTGTTGTACGTAATGGACAATTTATATTTGTTTGTGGTGATAATAAACATATATGACTTTTAATTGTATTTATTGATGAGTCAGTATGTGTACCTTAAGATTAAAGAGAAATAATAGAAAGATAATTGAATCAATCAAAAAAAAAACAAAAGGATAAATATATCATAGAAAATTTTATTAGTCATTATTTTTCTTGTTTTTTTTTTTTAATTATTTCAATTTCATGCATCATTGAATAGCAATAGTAAAAATTGTCGTTAGATAAGGTTCTACGTAAAATTTTCGTTCTTGAAAAAAATAATACAATAAATTATATGGGCAATTTCATTTTATTAATCGAATGTTATTGTAACATAAAAAAATCTCTATATCTCGAAAGTTTAAAAACTTCTTTAAGATAGTTTTTTGTATGAACTTTAGTTATTATTGAAAAAGTTGACGTTAGTGACGTGACAAAAAAATTTTCACCATCGGCATTTCTATTAAGTATAATTTGCAATGTTTGATCTATTTATCAAAGCCTCAGGCTTGACTGTCATAGAGCTCGTGGGTCAAGCTATTGAATTTACAAAGAAAAAGCTCTTGATCATAAACATGTCACAAAATGAAAATTTCAGAATATTCTAAGAGTCATTAGATTTTTTTTTGTAGACAAATTTTTGGATCAAAAATTCGTTCATTAGCTTTCCGGAGTAGCAAAAAATTCAGTAAATCTGTCATAGGTCAGCGACAGGGACGAATATGAATTCAATCAATGGGTGTCGTTCCCTGATCAAGAATTGAATGCTTTGGATTAATTTTTGCAAAAATTATTGTTTTTTCTTACACTACTTTTTCAGTCGATAGAAGTTTCCAATTGATTTTGATTATTTTATATTAAATTTTTTTCTTATAAAAATAAAATACTACAATTAATTAGAATTTCTTTAATCTATTGAAGTGTATCTAAACTTCTTTGAAGAAACGATATATTCTTCACAGATAAATTGAAGATAATGTGTCTATTACTTGTATTTTATTATTTTCTTCATATTAGTCATACACTATTGTCCAAAATACGTTTGAACTATCATGCGAACAATTTCGCACTTATATTTTTTTTAATATTATTAATAAAATCTAATCCATGATAAAACAGACATGGTCTCATGAGAGTTTCAACCTAGCTTACGTTTTATATTCGTAGGTGAACAATCTAACACGTTATCGATTCTGTTTCGAACTTATATCGACATTGATATACGTTTAATTTAAAAGGAATTAGAAAATTCAATAATGAGAACAAAAAAGACTTTTGTAATCTTCTCGATGTACGTGTAATCATCCAAAGATCGTTCTTCGCTCAGAAATTTTTATTTACAGTCAATTTGTTTTTTTCCATTTAAAAGAACATATTGTAAACTTATAAATGGTATACTATTTTTAGATATATATTATATTATTGCGAAAAACTATTTAAAAAAAGTATTTGGTTCATTTTTTTATCATAAAAGTATCGTCCAACTAAACTAACAATCTTAATGATCTGTTGAAAACTATGAATAATAAAATTGTCGTCAGTCAACATCAAATTGAAAGACGTAATATCAAGCTCATCAAACGATAATTAGTCGTATATTGAGAAAAAAGACCTAGGTCAATCATTCTAACATCCAAATCTGTGGATTTTCAGCAGCAATTAAATGAATCGAGTCATTGCATTCAATCGCCGTAATCCTGCTTCTAAATTGCTGCAATTCAATCAACATTGCAGCTCCTTGTGAAATGTTATCACGCTCATGTTACTTGTATAGCTATATCAACTATTTTCGCTTATTTTTTGAGTTTGATTATTATTTATTAAAGATGGCGCAATAAAGATACTTATGTTTTAGAGATTTTTACCAATAGCAAAAAAAAAAATAAAATGTGTGGCACCATCTGACAAGATGTACTGCGTCATATTAATGTCGAATTTTTCGATTAGCAATCGATCTTCTCAACATAGAAAATACTAAATTATAAAAGAAAAAAAAAAGGCTAAACTGTCTATTTCGATAAAAAAATTGACGACCTGGAATATATCAACAAAAGGCAATGATAAAAAACATTCTAAATATGACAGTTATATATTTTGATTGGATAAACCCACTGTTAATTATGCTTATATTATCCTTAACTGATTAAACGAAAAAAAAAAGTACTGTAGACATGTCCAATTGAAAATATTTGAATAATAAATAAGTGTATACACAAAATTGGAAAAAATCTTTAGTTTTTTTTTTGTAAATTAAAAAATTATGAAAGTAAATAAAGTATAATAAAAGATCTGAAATATTCTTTTAGTAATTATATATTTACTTTTTTGATTAGAATTTATTAATGTATCATTTCCAAACATACATAAATGTTGATTAGTTTGATGTTCTGTATGTAAATCACAAGGAGAAGAAGAAGAAGAAGATGAAGATGATGAATAATGATTAGTTAAATTTTCTTCATATTCATGATTAGATGTTGTATTTAATTGATGATAATTTCCTAATGTTGATAATAATGGATTAAATGAAGATGAAATTTCATTTTCTATTTGTATATTATTCCAATTTTGTCTTGGATGATATAAATATAATGATCGATGTTGGATTGTTGCACGTGGTGGTTGATTTTCTAATTCAATACTATTCGTAGGTTCATGTCGAATTCGTTTATTAGTCTGAATTAATAATAATAATAATAAAAAAGAAACAAATGAATTTAACAAATTTTCTTACATGTTGATCATATTCTTGAATAAAATAATTATCTTCTATAGGTCGTTTTCGTCGTATTGGTGTTATTGGAAGAATATTTTGATTATATATTGATTGTTGATTATTAGAAAATAATTCAATTTCTTCATTAATTGTTGAAGATCGATGTTGTTTAGATGAAATTATTGTTGATGATGGTATATAATCTATTGATATTGGAATTAATTGTTGACAATCTAAATTCATATTTTTATCATGTTCAATAGTACGTTGTCGTAATGATGAACGATTCATAATACGTTTCTTTTTTTCATCCATTATTAAACATAAAAATTGATTCTATATAAAAATAACAAAATATCAAAACTTTTTATTATCATACGGTTAAAAAAAAACACAGTAAAAATTTACAGTCAGTTAAATAAATATGATTTATTTAAAAGAATTAAATTATATTCACGGAAGAAAAATCATAGTTAACATAAACGGAAATGAATGAATTCATTTCTAATTTTAGCTTCAGGACCAAAGATCATCAATACCGTACATTATTATTTATAGCTCTAAGATTTCCTGTGTTTTCATTTATGAATAGATGTATTGTTTATACTCATAAATCAATCCAAAGAGTAGAAACTAATCGATAAAATCAAAAGAATTTTTACATACCTATATTATCATTTAATCAAACCTAGAATTAAATACAAAAATAAATCTAGAATACAAATAAATAATAATTATCAATGACAAAAAAAGAAACGAAGAAATAGAATAAAACATTATGTTATTTTTGTTTTTTTTTCCCTAGAATTATACAATACTAGAACATTAACTATATGTTACAACTAAAACAAAAACCGAAATAATAATAAACAATGACAACAAAAAGAAAACCAATTCTATACGGTACACACATACACAAACAAGACACAATCTGACACAACATTCAAAAAGAAGATGAGATTCAATTCGAATTTATTTCTTTTTGTTAGTTTAGATATATGGCGTTTTTGTTTTTTTTTTTTTTATTCCCTTGAGTTTTTCATGAAAAATTACTACTAATAATAATTTCTTTGGTTTGAGCACCATTCTTCGATTTGGAATAAAAAGAAGAAAACAAAACAAAACAAAAAAAAAAAAATCTGACCAAAATATTCTTATAATTCAATATATGGAGTTATATCAATAAGTTGTTTTTCAATATTTATTCTTTCATCAACTAATCGTGCTAATTCATCATAAATACGTAATGTTGATTGTCGACGTCCTTTACGCCATGAATCATTATCATTAGTTCCATTTTGTTGATGATTATAATTATTATTTATTGGATTTGATAATTTACATAATGAAATAGCATTTTCATTTGGTCGTTTACGTTGACGTATGGAATTTGTTATTTCAAGAATTTTATCATCAATTTCATTTAATTCAATTAAAATACTATCTAATTTATATTGTTTTTCAGCACGATCAAGAGCTAAACGTTCTAAACTAATAGATTCAGCAAGACGATGTTGAAGTTCAGCATATTTTGATGGAAATGTACTGCAAAAACAAAAAAATCATATTATATCGAATTGATATTAGTATCTATTTAAAGATCTAATTATAAGGAGTTTCTTTCTTTTTTCCTATGCACAAGATATAAATATAAAAATGTTTTATATATGCATGACTTCACTTTTAACAAATCGTTTAATGAAACATAACTATAATAGAACAAAGTATAAATTATTTTCAAAAAAAAAAGAAAATTTAATTCACCAAGATCATCTCCGAACGTTTCATTTACTTTTGATTCAAGACTAAATACAATAATCTCTCTCAAGAGAAACAAAAAAAAAAATTGAATTTTGACTTAAGACTTTATATAGAAATAGATCTCAATGAGTATAAATTTATTGTGAAATTTTCAGATAATATAATTGTTTGTTGTCTAATCTATGTCTATGATAACAGTATGTTGTTGTTTTTTTTGCGTTAATCATTATATGTCAGCAGTTTTCAATATTCGTATTTCAAAATAGAAATAATTAAAAGATTTGAAAGATTTATAATAAACAATTCTCATTGAAACTTTTCAAAAATCATTTTTCTCTAATTTTGATAAAGAAACTTATTGCATTATACTCGAACATGCAAGTCTTTTCAGAATACTTTTAAGTCATAATATACTATAGATACGAAGCGCAGAAAACATTTCCCGTTCTATTATTTAAAAACTATATTTCATCATTCCTTAGAAAAGTAATCATCAATTTTACACTTCATAAAGAAAATATAAGTCATTATTATTAATGAAAAACTTACAAATTTTAAAAAAATAATGCTTTATAACACCATTAGTGTTCTAGGATTTACATCAACTAGATGGACTTTAATACTAAAGACTAGGAATTAATGAAGAGAAAAACTGCAAATCGAATTGTCTGGAATTCTATGAAAACAATGAAGATTTAATTTTTTTAATAATAGTTATTTGAGAAAAATTTTTTTTTTCCTATGATTTGAAATAGTTATAAAATATTCATACTTATTATCACGTTGAAAAAATTTTAATATTGAATCATCAATATCTATTGAATTATGATTATTTGATATTGAAGAATATTTTCGTTTTAATCGATGATTATTTAATATTGAATTATTTTTATTTTGATTATTATTTAAGAAATTTTCAACAAAATTATATAAATGTAAATTTTGTTTTATAACAATTGAATATTCTAATTCAGGATGTAAATATTTATTATTAGTTAAAAGATATTCATTTGAATTAATTATTTGTTTATATTGATTATATATTTTTTCATCATTTATATTATCAAATAATGTTTGATCAATATTAATTAATTTTTCAATATAATTCCAATCATTTTTTTTAATAAATTCATGTTGATATTGAATAATTTTCATCCAAAATTGATCTGGATATAACATATTATTTAATTGTAATTTATTTTTTGTTAATAAATTATGATTATTACGAGAATTTGTTTCATAATAAAATGGATATGTAAAATTAATTGGACGATATGAACGTATTGGACGTTTTGAATAATTTTCATTTGATTTTTTTTCTAAAAAATTTTTTTTTATTGTTGTATAATAATTATTTTGATTACGTTCACGTTTAATTGGTTTTATTAAATTTATATTTGAAAATTTTTTTTTTCGTCGTCGTTTTCGTGTTATTTGTCCACTAAATGCTTTACGTTTACGTTCACGTTCAGCTTTAAAATCACGTGGTTTTTTACCATTTATTAATTGTATCATTGATGATAATGGTAATATTAAATTTTCACCATCAGATTGTAAAAGTTGTTTTTGACGTTGTAATGCCGAAATAAGAATAGATTCAAGTTCTTGTTGAATAAATGTTAAATCATAAATAAATATACCTTGTTGAAATGTAATATCAATTGTATTTATAATTTGTTGACAACGTGGACATGCTGAATTATAATCCGCATAACGAGAAGCAGTAGTTGACATACTGCTTCTCGATTATGAACGGAAATCAAATGAATGATATTAAATCTGAAATAGAAAAAAAAAAAAGACAACATCAATTTCTTTTTTTTTGTTTATATGACAGATCTTTGGCAAATGATAGATTTTGTTTTCTAATGTTATGTTTTTTTTTCTTTTATAATCAATTAAGAAATTATTGACAAGAAAAAAAAAAAAAAACAAAAAGGTTTTTAGAAGAGAGTGAACGTTTTGTCTTTTATTATTTTATAAACCTTATCAATGAAACATAACTATCAAAGCCGCAAGCAACGAAAAACTCGACATTTTAATGCATTAGAAAAAAAAATTATTATTTTTTCTTGTCAAAAAAAGATCTATATGTGTAAATATTAACCTTCATCAGTTCATTTATTTGTCTCAGGAGGAGAAAAAAAAAAGAGGTTGACTTTTTTTTTTTTTCCATTCTAACATTTCACAAAAAATCTACTTTCAATATTATGTAATGTAAAAAATGTCGAAATTTTCATTACTTGAATGCCTGACGAAATGAAATAGGTGTAAAGGAAAAAAAACAAACATACAATATAAGAATTTCTTTTCTTTTTTTTCTCTCATTGTTGGCTATACATATCTGAGTCGAGACAAGAAAAAAAAAACCGAACAAATGAACAGACAAACAAAGAAAAAAAAAAAACAAGAAGCAAACCGGGCTTATCCTATTGATCGATAATAAATAACTCTTCTAATTGTTGATCGAATTCTTCTTCATATTTATTCCAATCTGTTAATAATTGAGCAAGATTATCAAATGCTTTTTCCATATTTGAATTATTATGATTATTACTCATAGTATCAAGTTTTTCAATTAATGTTTCAAGATCACGTTCAATAGAATTTAATTTTTGCCATGTTTGTTCATTATCTGATTGTAAATGTGCACGTTTTAATGCTGATGAATTTAATAATGAACATTCATGTAATAATGATATTAATGTTGATAATTTATTTTGAAATATATCTGTACAATGTTCATTATTTGTTATATTTGTTGGTAATGGAATTGATATTGATGTTTTTCGTTTTTTTGTTGATTTTATTTCATTAAATAATTGTCTTTTAACTGTATCATTTATTGATGGATGTTGATCAATTAAATAATTTTGTACTAATTGTAAACGTTGTTGAAATTTAGTTGTTGATGATGGACTAGATATAAGTTTTGTTTTCTTTTTAGATTTTATTAATGATGATGATGATGATGGTGAGATGAGTTCGGAATCATCTTCAATTTTGAGCTAAAATATACAAAAAAAATTTTTCTTTTTCTCTAAGAATAAAATACGAATAATTAATCTATACAATATTAAATATTTGTTTATGATAAGTAGTATTTAAGATGATATTTCATATGAGATTAACTAATCAAATGAAAGAACCTGCTCTAAAAACTGATTAATCATAGAGTCACGCAATAGATTCCGTCAAGTGTCAGAGTTATATCTGCAAGACATTCTCATTAACAAATAGTACAAAAAAAAAGGAATATTCTGAAATGATCTCGAACTTTTAACTTATCACCATAAGT